GACGCAATCGTGCGACAATCGTGGATCGCTGGAGAACGATCGTATTATGTATTTCGAAATTTGAACGTGACGGCAAGCCATCTATCCCTACTTCTTCTCCGGATTAGTGACACATAAACTCTAGATTTTATATTTCTCTTCTACAGATTCTACACGTTCTGAAACATACATTGCAGTTTACATAATATAGAGAAATTAACATAAAGGGGATGAGATGCAGCACGGTATTTTGAAGTCACATTAAAGGATTAAGTTAATCTTCCTGCTGGCGCTTGCAAACAATTAAATGCAGTCAAACTGGATGTAACAAGCTTTCAAAAATAATTTCTACCTCGCTCGCGATGACAATATCGCGAAATTCTGTATCTCCTTGCAGTAAAGAGATAAAAGCTAATTAAAAGCCAGTATGCAAAAATAAATATGTAAATATTTACAATTATTGAAATAACAAAATATTCGTAAAAATTAGTTCTTACGATTATCTCTGCTTCAACAATTGTCATAGACATTTGTGCTTATATTCGTTCTCTTATTATATTTATATGTATACGTAAAAATAGCCCTTCAAAGCATCTCTTTTTTTTTATTCGTCAATCGAACTTTCTCTATCTCTTTCTTTCTCGTATCTTCTTTATCGAGCCATCTAATATCAATTCCGCGTTATAAGCGGTAAGGATATCGGCGCCAATGAAGTGAGCTTCAAGAGCGGCAACATCCGAGTACCACTAATAAAGAGACGGCTATATGATGCTTAACCACGGAGATATGGATCCAAGATCCGTCGCGATTAACCCAACACCACTTTAGAGAAGAAAAAGCACGCGTATAGAGTATATATACATATATCGATAGCATCTGTTCACATAAATATACTTCAAAGCTGCTAATTTTAAACTCCTACAGAAAATATTGTTATTGTCATTGTATCACAATTAAATTCTTACGTAACATTATCATCGTATATAAATTTCCAATAATAAATTTATATTATTATTACAGCGCGTATATTTTGGAAAGTAGAAGTAGGTAGTACAGCTGCCTTCTCCTTAGTAATCCATGTGCCGGTATATCGAACTGCTAAATAAATTATGGCGGACACACATACATTCTGCATATATTTTATACACACACACACACGCGCGCGCGCACGCACACACACGCACACACACACACGCACGCACACACACACACACACGCACACACACACACACACACAC